TTCCAAAGTTTTAGCTTATTTTATACACTTTTCCGCAAAAAATACTACAGTGACAATAATATGCCTTATAGGCCAAATTAGGCTACAGCTTAAAATATATTTACGAGATAAATTAAGTACAATGTTTTGTTTCACATGTGTCGTATAAAGATATTTTACACAGCATTTTAATAATTTATCAGGCATCTGAAATATCTTCAGGAATTGGTACTGGCACGGATTGATTTTATGTCAAGCGTTGAGCCTTTGATCAACTCTGACATAATTTTGGGGAGAATTGTATTGATATCTTTGTGTACCCATAATAATTTTCTATACACTTTCGATGCGAAATTATAGAAACAACTTTAAAAGTTTATCTTAAATCTAACTTCCTCTATAAATAAGGCAAATTGAAGTCCCGTTTTGTACTTTATTGGCAGTGCTAACGTGGGGAGAGAAATAAAAGGTCGAGGGATAGAAATGGGGACGAATTATCTCGTAGACACGGAGTACATCAATTACGGGTGGGATTTCGGAATTAGAACCCCTTAAATGGATTTTTAAGGGTCACCTAAATTAAAGGTTGTTTGTGTAATTTGAAAGTTTTATTTATTCCGTTACGTTTGTTATTCTCCTGTTTGATGTTTCCCTTAAAAATACTTATGATACTTTTGAAAAACCTAACATAATTTTGTCCCAAAAATGTTTCGGTACTTTTTTAATCACCATTATAATATCAGTCTTTGCTACAATGAAGCTTTCATATGAAGAATACGGAAACTTGTCCTTTATTCCTCACCCAAAAACGAGCCACAAATGAAGTCAAAGAATGTCCCATTCCGTCCCTTATTAGTGGCGCCACCGTAAGACGGCAATAAAAGGACTCAGGACGCGCGATAAACTCGGATGGGAACGAATTATCTCGTAGACACGATGTAGATCAATTATGCGGGACACCAGAATTGGGACCCATGGCACACCATGAAATAGGTGGATTTATAAGGGTTACTTTAAGGCTCATTTAATTGGACGCCAGCCAACTTCGCCCAATTTTATTTTCCGTGAATTTTGAAAGCATGCGAAGAAAAATTGATTCGAAAAATTCGCCGATTTCACAAAAAGTGATTAACCGGAATTTCGTTTTAGTCTGATTTCCCTAGAATTCGTTCACAAACAATGAAAAACTTAACTACAGTCGTGATAGAGGCACAACAAAGTTTTTTCTGTATTTGATGGAAATTTCTACAAAAGCCTGATAAATAAAATTAAAATCAAGCTCGGCACGTTTCGCCTATAAATAATATTTGGATAAGGTAATTCGAGTAAAAACTAGGGTAGGAAAATGTCATGGTTACTTCTGGCAGTACGAAATGTCTCATAGTGGCATTTTTACTTAATGACCGACACTAACGCTAAATATCACGAAAATAAAGAGATAAAAACGTTCGGCACACGAATGACAGCATAAAAAATATAGTCAGTAACGAACTACACTGAGAAAACAAACCAGGAAAAGGTCACTGTTTATTTTTCTCGGGAAACATGATTTGGACTAAATACTGGAGATAAAGAAAAATTCAATAGAAGTATCCACAAACAACAATAATTTGTATTTGATAAGAGCACTGTGAGAATGATAATTTTAGTTACTTTTTTGCATAAAGAAAAACTGTCAGCTGCGCTGTCGACTACACTACTCGTCACCAAATAAGTAACTGAAAATTGGGTGCTTTAATTTTAATAAAATTTATTCGTAAGCAGTAATAGTAAGGGAAGTTATTTCAGATTATAGAAAGTAATTTCACTTTCAGATTTCTTTACAGTGATGAGTTTAGAGTTAGCGCCAATTAAATTCTTGTTAAGCGCCTAGCCATTGCGGTGTACCCTGCGAATCCAGAGGGGAAGACAAACGGGGATTAAATACGAAAGCGCGGCGATTACTGAGCCAAGCCGACCCAATGCCGCCATTAAGAATTCCGCAAACGAACTCGGGACATCGAATCGACAAAATTGAGCTCGCCTCATCTTTTCTTACGTCGTGTGTTCGCCCGTCCCCTAAAGACAGATATTTTAATATTTTCCCCAGCTCAAGGGAGACGACCGCTGTTTTGATCTACGACTCGAAAAATACACTTTTTCTGTACAAACATAGCATATTCTTCTTCATTCCTTTCGGGCATATAACTTTGTGAATACGTCTCTGAATAATATGAAAATCTTTTATGAATGAGATTTTTTGCCGAAGGGCCGGTCCTTAGTAGGTGAAGTGTTTTGTGACTTACCCGCGCACAGGGACTCATAGCTTAAGAAGTCAAATATTACCTGAAAAGAAAAATATACGCCGTTAATATATTATTTTAACAACCTCAATTCGCTAATGATCGTTATAAATATTATAATAACGAGCAATACCTACAGTTTTATGGGATCATTAATCGGTCTCTTAAGTTTCATACACTTTATGGTGGCAAGAATCATACCCACTCATCAGACAATACTACAGTAAAAAAAAATCCTTTCGTATCTTAACAACTTGGTTCCAGTACGTGCTAGCTTACGTGCCTAATGTGTCATGAACGGTACATGTGGCTCAATNCCCTCCATGGAACTAGGCTCAACATGCTCCTGCATGTCTATAGGGTTTGCTCAATGTTGATTTAGTCGATTTTCTCCTGAAAGGAACATGTAAGACAACAATCAAATTTCCAATTTTACAGACCTTCTAGAGCAGATGCCGCAAAAACTAAACAAGATATTAGTGTCCGACCGAATGTTCGGTTTCGGTTTCGTTTTCGGTTGAGTTTCGGTAAAAACACGAGTTTCGGTTTAGTTTCGTTTTCGGCGGCAAACTTGCCGAAACTACGACCGAAACCGAATGTGCATTCGGGAGTTTCCGCGCTGTTATCGGTCATGTTCGGCGCATTGAATGAGTGAATGAATCTCTCAATGCTCGCTTGTTTGTTTGCTGTTAGTTAGTTTTTTTGTGGTGGCGAGTTTTCGAGTGATTTATTTTGAATTTGGTAAGTTTTATCTCGTTTTATGTCGTTATAACATAAGAGCGGGTAGTAAATATAAAAAAATATATTCAATATGACTGATAAAAGTATAATCAAGTTTAATCTAACCTATATATTTTTTTTATGTTCGCAAATGCTATACGTAAACAAACATTAGTTAGGTAGTTAGTAATGACTATAGTGCATTTCATGGTGATAATATTATGGATCACCAAGGTATCCAAGTGGCAAGTACAGTACATACTAACTTACGTACCTACTACCAATTTTGTTTTGAGAAATTAGTAAGGTAAAAGACCCGACCATGGGACGGGTTATGTAGATGTCCTGAATATTGCGAGTAATTAAAAAATCTAGACTATAAATCCTTCTTTTGCTTTTTTAATACATAATTTGATACCTTTTAGAGTAAAAAGGCGCTTTATAAGTTCAATTTTAATGCTTTTTAGAGAGAAAACAATAAATACTGACTGATTATAATAACGTTTTCTTTATTTTTCCCTCAAAATATGAGCCTTGTAAGGAAGTTTCGGTTTCGGTTTCGGTTTCGGCCGAAATAGACACCGTTGCCGAAATTCGTTTTCGGTTTCGGTTTCGGTCGTAAAACTAGTTTCGGTCAGACACTACAAGATATAGAAAAACTTGACTGTCTCACCTGTAGCAAATTGAATAAGCTTTTTTTGGTTCATAGTAGTCATGTCACTAGGACGCATAGTTTCCGAGGATTAAGCGAAAAACCGAAAAGTGGTACTTTTAAACCCCCCTCTCCCCGCCGGCTCAAGGGCTAAGGGCGGGGACTTTTGCTATGTTCACCACCTAACTAGGCTAAATAAAGTCCCGAGGTCAGAAATTGTGTTCCACGGATTTCTCTCTACACCGTCGTTAAGGCATTCATTGACTGGACTATTAGTAGTTATTTTATCTCCTCGTATTTTTCCAGGGCACTTAATTAATAATGTTATCGCCACAACTAATTATTGTAAATAATAAGACAGACTTATATCGGCTTGTCTGACACTTCATACATTAATTACTCGGTAATTAACTCTGCTTTCGAAATAACAATTATTGTGGAAACATTTGTAAGTATTTCAATTTTTATTTCTTTTTTCATTTGTGCAGGTTTCCCAGCAGCCATTGTCTTCCTACAATTTAAGGTTCAGTTTAATAGAATAGCATATTTTTGTGGTGTGTACCTGTTCATAATTAATGCTGACAAAGTGACTGAGTTTCGTCCACCACTTCTTTCAGCACCAGACGATATGTTATTCCGAAGTAGTAGTAGGGCTAGCTACTTGTATATTTGAGACATAAGTGGCCTAAAGAGTGTCTCTGTCTACATAATAATCATTTTGAACTGCTCGAGCTCCACGTCAATAACTGGCAAGAGATGGCGCAGAAGATCAAAAGTCACTTTGGGTTGAAATATGAAAAGACTATAGTCTGGTCTGCGAGCACGTAGAATTTTGTCCAATGACCCCAAGCTACCCATCCTTATCGCTCGCGCGTAATTATGTTGCTGTCGCGCTCGCACACTCACTGCGGGCGCCCGTCGCACAGTCGCGACAGCAATATAATTACGCGCGAGCGATAAGGAGAATTTAGAAGAAAAGCTGTGCCCGTGACTTCGTTACGCGTGAAAGTAGTTTGAATAATTTTCTTTATTGCTCCACCCCTATTGGCTGTAGAGTTATGCCTAAAGCCTTCCTCGATAAATGGGCTTTCCAACACAAAAATATTTTTTCAAATTGGACCATTAGCTCCTGACATTAGCGCGTTCAAACTCTTCAGCTTTATAATATTATTATTATTACTGACGGGATTGCCATATACCACTCTCTCACCCGCAAGTTTTCTCAGTTACTCCGTGACCATGGCGCTTGCCACAGTGCTGAAATATCGGAAATTCAAAATTAAGGTACATGGTAGCAATTCCGTCAGTAATAATAATATGGTAATGACCATGAAAGTTTAAAACATTATGATGAGGACTTCCACAACTCACCTGTATATCACTAAGAGCGTCAGTATAATCGCCAGGATGATGTACCAGAACCAAAGGAAGATGTAGGTCTTCTCGTTGACGATGTTCAGCGGCAGGATGCACAAACTGTCGTGGGTTTGAATACTGCCTGAGGCACCGAACTTGTGGAACGTACACTTTGTTATGCGCGGGAATACGTATATCATCGGATCGTATCTGGAATTGAAAAAAGAATAAGTTATTCGTTGATAAATGAATGTCATCAGCCGGGCTAAGATGCGAACGTCGGTACAAGCTATTTTCTAGATCCATATTAAGAGTGTCATTGGGACCAACTTTGGGGCCAATGTCTGAGGGGGCTGTGTATTACAGAAGAATATCTACCTGTAGCCTAGGACTCGGGAGCCGTTGGCACCAATGTTGGGATAAGCTATTTTCTAGATCCACACATTTGACTAATGGCGTTGGGGCCAATGTGTGGATCGAGCCTATGCATTACAGAACGAGACTATTCCCACCTCTCGTTCCCACCGCTGCAACTCCTATGTAGCCAGGATCTACAACTTAACCGCCAATAAAAACCCAACCAGTGAAGGTAAAGTTTGTGTTTGCATTACAGAAGTATGTACCTCTCTTCCTGCGGGACCTCGCTGTAGCCAAGAACCCGGGTGCCGTAGGAGAAGAACTCCCCATTGAAGAAGCTGTCCATCATCCACAGCTGTTTGACCCATCGCCACTAGTCCAACATGAGGAATGAGGATCCAGATAAAATATAGTATTGGCACCAACGTTGGCGCAAGCCATTTTCTAGATCCACATTTTTTAAGAGTGGACCAACGTTGGAGCCAATGTGTGGAGCTGGCCTGGCTTTACAGAAGTATATCTACCTCTCTTCTTGTGGCACCTCGCTGTAGCCCAGAACCCGGGTGCCGTAGGAGAAGAACTCCCCGTTGAAGAAGCTGTCCATCATCCACAGCTGCACCACGATGTTGACCAGGCACAGCAGCTCGCAGCCCCAGTACCGCAGCGCGTATAGCTTGTGGGTAACTCCATACTCCAAGGTGGACCGACGACATCATAAAGGTAGCAGGAAAGCGCTGGAAGCAGGCCACTACCAACCGAGTAACATGGAAAGTATTGGGGGAGGCCTATGTTCAGCAGTGGACGTCCTATGACTGAGATGATGAACTCCATACTTTGGCCCAAACATTTGGCCCAATTCCATTAGTCTAACGTGAGGATCTATTTGTGGCACCAACGTTGGGACAAGCTATTTTCTAGATCCACACGTAGTTTATGTATTCATCATCATTATCTTTTCAGTTACAGGATGGCCACTGCTGAACATAGGTCTCTCATAATGATTTCCATATTGACCTGTAGCGGGCTGCTACCATCGCCGTCTTGCACCTTTATGAGGTCGTCCATCGGTCCACCTTGTGAATGGACGTCGCACGCTGCACTTTCCGGTACCTACGAATAGGTACGTAGCCTCCACTCCAGTATTTAGTATGTAGTAGTTGTGTACTTCAGAAGTATATCTACCTCTCTTCTTGCGGCACCTCGCTGTAGCCTAAGACCCGGGTGCCGTAGGAGAAGAACTCCCCGTTGAAGAAGCTGTCCATCATCCACAGTTGCACCACGATGTTGACCAGGCACAGCAACTCGCAGCCCCAGTACCGCAGCGCGTAGAGTTTGTGCATCTGAAAAGAATACAACCATTTGCTATTAACATTTATTAAATTATACAGATAGTACAAAACTTAACTAATACTTAAAATTACAAGAAAAAAAAAGAAAAAACTTATTGTTTACTCAAAAATAAAAGCATGTCCACGAGGCATACAGGCGAGGATGCTGACTTCGTTTATATGCAATGAAGTACATTGGCTTAAATATGACATATTTATTTACATAAACATGTGTGAATAGGGGAGGGGTTGAGTGATAGGACTATACTATACGTATTCTCCTACCACTTCAACACTCACCAGTTGGCGCCACTCTTTTAGCTACAAGTGACAGGACCATTGATACTTGCCAGTATCGCCAACTGGTAAGCGCAAAGGAAACCCAAATTTTCGCTTTAAATGCCATGACTATCATGTTTGATAAAAAAAAACACAGCCTAATGCTTCAACCACACCAACGCGTGCCCATCGCCGGCGCGATTACGGCGCGATCATAGGGAAATGACAAGTAGCGTGAACTGTCATAGGTCGAGCGACCTGTCATTGGCCTTTGATCGCGCTGGCGATGGCGATTTCCACGAGTCGGTGTGATTGAAGCTTAAGTAACTAAATTAAATCTAGGAATAACATAAACTGAACTATTAATAAAATTATTATTCCTTGAAATTCACTGATAGTTACATAACAGCTCTACCAGCCGTCACAGACATGCATTAAGTCATCCAAGAATGCCTCTGGAGTCGACAACCGTTTAATTCGTAACCAACGCGGTCATAGAGTCACAATTTACACAGATGTAGAAGGCCCTATTTATATTTTGCAAGCTAATGTGTACATTCCACGCCTAAAATCTTAAAACCTACTAAGCAGATTCTGCCAAAATATTGTAAGAATGATACTTGACTTAGTTAAAAACCTACAGTAAACTTGATATACGTGACCGGTGATGGTATGATTTTATCATCAAATTCACTCACAACCTTGTTCTGACGCATCCTTCAGGATTGTAGAATGTATAGGCAATGTATAGTTGACAGTCATGTGCTGGGCCATTGGCGACTTTTCTCAGATCACTGGCCACTTTGACATAATTATAACTATCGCATGAGAGTTTCAGCGGACTTTTTATCTTTTATGCCGTGAACGACTTGTAAATCATTGAATGAAACTTATACAGTTTGGATAGATCCTTCTGTACTTTTCTGCTCTATGGTCCATAGCCATGAACGATGCTTTAGACTGCATTCCAGCGTTAATGTTTCATTAGAGACTTGGGATAAATCCCGAAATACTATACTTTCACTCATTAATGTGCGGGACGCGATTAGATTTTTCGGTTTTAAAGCAATTGCATAATATTAATATATTAGTACTAACTGGGATATTAAAGGCCATACATATTCAAATTAAAACTGAAATACAATTAACAGTTAGATTCAATATTAACGTCAAAAAACAGAACTCTACAAATATCACAGTCACAGGCAGCGCACGCCGCAACGCATCATGAGCTTTACCTCTAAGGGTGACCTAATTTAGAACCAAAATATTTTAAACAGACAGATTAAGTGCCTTTTTCCTGATATGAGCATTTCATTATTCCATAAATGTTTTACGTACTACACGCACGTAGAATCCGCACCACAGAAAAAGGCGCTAAAATTTCTGAGAATCTCATCTTTGATCCGGTACTTGACTACGCCGGCTAGTAACATAAACCACTTAAATTTCAATCAGATAAGGCCCTAATTAACATAAATGTTTACATAACAATTGCTTCTATAACAACACCGCGGCACTTGTTTCAGGCCGCCATGAATGAGATCCTTCTGCGTCAACAAAACGTTGTTTACAACATAACTTGAACTCTGTGCAGACGTGGCACTAAAGTTATCTGACACTCAAACAATATCTGTTGTCATTATTTAATTAGAGCTTTGACATAGCGTCAGCATGCGGAATATGGAATGATTAGGAGCTCTTCTACGACCAATTATAATGATTTTGTAAAGTATTGTCATCCGGGAGACCTGCACTATTAAAAATGTAGTTATAATATGTAGGTACGAACATAGTACAACATTGAAGTAATTTGTAAGTTAATTTGTTTACTCTAGTTTGTTTACTCTAGTTATAAGATAAAAACCTCATTTTCTAAAATAAGTTTGCATAATTTATTTCTAATCACAATAGTTTCCATTTTCCTGTAATAGTTACGGTTAAAGGGAGGTGGTGCAACTCAGTCTTAATGGTAGGGTCTCCGAAATATATCTCTATTTGAACACTTTGAACCCACTTTTGACGGCTTTTGCACAGAATTATCTTCAACATTTGTACGCGATACGGTTTCATAAAACCTCGCATGCTACGTAGCTATATGAATACATCTTTACAATACTTGGGTGGTGGAGTCAAATGTTTATGATATCACATGATACGAAGACAGCCGAGCCTTGTTGCCATCGGTCGTTGTTAGATCCACGGAGCGATTGTATGAAACTTTAGATATCTTTAAACATACATTATGTACAATACATACTTATAATACCTTGATTCTGCGCTGCGGAGCGATAATGGTGGCCAATCAATAGATGTCTTAATAATCTAAAGTAGGGCAGTTGCTTAAAGAAATCTTTATAAGACGTAAGATGCTCTTGTAGATATGTGCAATGCATTATCTGTACTTCATAGAATAAAAGTTAACAGTAACGGTCAGAATTGTCATTAACATTCCTTTAGCAAAGTGTTTGCTAATAACTAGCTGAAACGGCGAACTTCCTACCGCCTATTTTCATCAGAAATAATGTAGGATTCTAATGGAGAAATATTTTTTCAAGTCAGTCCAGTAATTTTCGAGCCTGTACAATACAAAGAAAAAAAACTTTCGAAGCTTTCATCTATTGTGTAGATAGGCCTAGCTATAAGTACGTTTTCGAAATCGCATGATTATTATTTTATTTTTAACTCTACGGCAAAATAATCCAGACTATAGTGTTAAATCATCATTCGTAGTAATAGTGATAAATGTGTAACTCAACTCAGCATGTCATTTAGAAAATAAATTGTAAACTTCCTTCATCCCTTTTCGGGCTACCATGAGCAATTTTATACTACACGTATAATAATAAAAGCAAACACGATAAGCTTATACATAGAGTCGGAAGTAAATCTACGTTTGGGCAGCCGAAGGTCATCGAATGATGACACAAGAAACAAACAATATTCAAATGGGCATGTGATAATATTCCAATATCATTGAAGCAAATCAGGAATCCTGATGAGGGATCAATTGGGATGGAAAAAAGTTGTTGGCATCTCCGAAATATTATGTTGCTGTTACTTAACTTACGAAATGGCGTCATTTGATGTAAAAATAATTCTAAATTATGATTAATCCCTAAAAGGGTATTAAAGAAATGCGTAAAACAATCAAAAATTAGTTCATTCAGTACATAGATCCTTTGCAGGGCACTTATACACGTCCCATATATAGCTTTAATAAGATTCCCTTTGTCTTCAGACACCTACTATTCAGAATTTCAGTCACACTGATGGGCCTCGACCAAAATTAAAGGTGTCTACAAAATGTAATCTGAGATCACTCTCATCATTTCAGCCATAGGACGTCCACTGCTGAACATAGGACTCCCCCAATGCTTTCCATGTTGATCGATTGGTAGCGGCCTGCGTCCAGCGCTTCCCTGCTACCTTTACGATGTCGTCGGTCCACCTTGTAGGTGGACGTACTACGCTGCGTTTTCCGGTACGCGGCCTCCATTCCAGAACCTTTCTACCCCATCATCCAACACTCTATTTTCTATTGCAGTAATAAATTGACAATTCGTAATTGCTGTTAGTCCAAGAAAATTCGTGTTAGAGCATGAGCCTAGAGGCAAAAGTCTTAGCTCTATCCTTTTTTCACAAATGTTATTGAGGGGTATTTCCGGCTAAAGATCGTTGTATATCTTATTATGCCCCGCAGCTCTATTTGTAAGTAGTCTCTAAGTTTTTTAATGTTAATTGGTATGTCTGGCGTGTTGCCTAGCTACTTATTCAAATGACCATGATTTAGGATTATTTTTGTATCATTTAAGATTTAGTACATACGATAGATTCTTTGTATTTTGTTAACATTACTTGAAGCAGCTATGAAGAAACGCAAAAATAGGCAAGAAAAGTGACTCTTTATTTTATTCTTTCCCAGTAAGTGAGTATTTAAAATATTCATATTATTATACAATGTAACATCATTGAGCGTGAAGTAAGTAGGTACCTATATCAATAAAGGTACTTATATAAAGGACATGGACATGATGTTAACTGTAGATGCACTGGTCTGGTCTTCACAACACAGCGTTTTTAGAAATGATTATAGGGACAGTCAAATAAAAGCCCTAATTCACAAAACGATTACGATAATCGGTTCACAGGTCTCTCTCACTCGTGTACGGATGCTGGCAAGAGCGAGAGAGAAGGGATGACAGCTGAGCAGATGTCGCGTGCGCGTGAGTTGACGCACACCTGCCGACTCCTCCCCTTGCCTGATATGGCAATGCGAGGGTTAATCACAATGGCATTTGCAATAAAGTTCAATTTGCTCTAATTCTTGTAATCTAAGAGATGTTTTGTAAATGCTTATTACATCGTACTTGTCTCACTCTATGACGAGTAGTGCTAAACAGATGAATGTAAAGTTGTGATGGAGATATTTTTCTTAATGAAGATAAAGTCAACTAAGGTCACAATGCAATACAATCCTGATGGTAGATTTATGTAATATCCCAAACCCTCAAACAGCCCCAGGACCTCAGGATTAAAGGAGTCCAACTTTACTCCTAAGCCTTAGATTCATATCTTTCCTTAATCTCTAGAGACAGAGGGGAGGGGACAGAAGCCCCTTCACTCTTTTAATCTCCCACTCATTACCATGAAGCAGAGGTAACAGGTAACGTCAAAAATACTTGAACCGCGTCACAATATGTATATCGGTGAACATGGGCAGTGGGCACACT